CTTCTTCATTTCTGAAGAAGGGTCTAGGCCCGAAACGTCAGCCTTCCGGCTCCTCTGATGCTGCTTGGCCTGCTGTGTTCATCCAGGTCTACACCTTGTTAACTCAGATTCTCCAGCATCGGCAGTTCTACTATCTCTAGCTTATAGATATGCTTTGAATAAACGAGTTAATTCCCAGTTTTTTTTTCCAACTGTAAGCCCCATATTGATGTTTGGAAATCGATATGATGCCTCAGTGGGAGCTCTGAGTGAAGTATGTGGGCTGTAAAAGTAGGGGCCTGTTAGGAAGAGTCGTACAGTTTTTATAACTGTGAGAAGTCCAATGGGGCCGTTGTTGCCTTGCAAAATTTCAGTCCTCATTCCACTTGGGATCTAACCCCCAGCTTGGGAAGCCCTGACTTTAGCCCTAAAGAACATATTTTTCTTGTAAACTTTATTCCTGAGCTTATTGCATCCAGTATTTGGAAAATGAATTTATGAGGACTTTTTAAAATTCAGTGTAACGCACGCAAATATTCGAATATTACATTACCAGTTACGTTTTCTCAAATTGTCTGGTTAAGTATTTGGCAATTAAATGTATCCACTGTTTTGCTACCTCATGCTGTATTTCTAGCCTACAGAGGAAACTGGGGAAATCCATTCCAAAAACATCAATCTAATTATATCCAGCCATCAACATTTTACAAACCGGCATCATGGGGAGGAGGTGGCAGGGATGTTGATAGAAGAGGATTTGGAGGTGCAGAAACGGGGAAGAAAGCAACTTCAAGCTCTGGAGGCTTTCTGCAAAATAGATTTACAGGTCTTTCCAGTGATGATCAAGATCGTGATGTGGAAAACCTACTGTGAGTGCAATTTTTTAATGCATGATTAAGTTTTAAGTATCAAGGTGACAAATTTATCCAGAGGTTTTGGCATGGACTGTCACAGAGTCAAATGTGCACAGTGTGTGTAAGGTAGTTGAAAATCTAGTTGAATGGCAGCATCTTGATGAAGTAAAGAAGTAAAAAGACAGAAAAATTTGAAAGGTAGCTTTGAATCAAAGGCCAGTCAATATGTGCCAGTTGAATAAAAGATTGACTGATGAGGCTTTGACAGTGGTTTTCACTTGTAAAGGAGTGATCCAAAGGAAGACCAGAGAAGGGGTGAACTGACATTTTGGGTTGCAGTAAGTTGTAGATGTGTTCAAAGAAGAGCCATATAGGACGTGAAATGTTAACTTTGTTTCTTTTCTGACAGGTACTGTCAGACCTACTGAAATTTGCCCAGCATTTGGAGATTTTTCTTAAAGTAGTTGCAGATACTACTATAATAGCTCTGTAGAAACTCTGCACGGTCTTGATAATATGTAGCTTTAGTAATGGATAGGACTTCCAAAACATTAAAGTTGTGCACTGACAGACCTGGTTTGACTAAATATCCAGGAAGAGAATTTGAATCGAAGACTAAAGTTGAAGTTTGTGGTACTTCTCAAATCAGGTTGGATTCAGGTTTGCCAATGTTAACTTGGAAAAAACTCTCCCTTAATGGTGACGTACTTTGATATATTGATACAGCTGATGGTGGGTGGTAAATGGTTTACTTAGATGAAATTAAGGAGATGTGAAGCGCAGTCTTAGGAGGAAAGGAAATTTGGAGAATGACTGACTGTAAAGCATTTGGTGTTTTAGGTAATACTCTTGGGAATTAAATGTGGGATACTTGGGTCTTTGGATTAGTAGCACTTCCATTTACCAGCGTGGGCTTGGAGAAGATTGTCAGGCATTTTAGTATGAAGAAAATTGTGGTGTATCAAAGCACCAATCTTTGAAAATCAATTTCATAACTTATTTTCTTTAAGAACCCTTTAACTCATTATAGGAAGACTTAATGATTACTGTATAGTCGTTACTATTAATTTTGTGTAAATGTATATAATGTCTTATTGTTTTCAATTTATTGCAGGGAAATAGTAAGAAAAGACATTGAAGCATGGGAAATCTCTGGCCAATGGTTATTTTCCTGCTACTCTGTTGCCAAGGAATATGCATGTGTCTCAGGTACAAAGCTGGTTCTGCTTTTGTGTCATTGTTTTTCTAGAATCAGATTATCCCAACATGTTTTCATCACTTATATTCACATTAGAAGTTATTTTTAAGAAAGGGAAAACAATGTCCAAACAACAGGCTGAAGACTTTGAGTAAAATCTTACTGATACAATAGAATTCTCAAAAGTAATTTATGGGTGCATCTAATCTTATTGAAAAATATATAAGATGGCACAATGGGTGTTTTATTCTTCTATAGGTCTTGTGGACATTTCCCCAGAAGAATTGCGATTGGAATACTATAACAGTAGAGCAGGAGGCAGCTTGTCAAATTACGTAAGAACTGTATGCTTTAAGTTGCTTTTACGAATATGGAAGCATTGGACTAATCAGTCATGTTAGGTAATCCACTTTTTAAGTGTTGTTTCTGCCTTCTGTTGCGGTAAGACAAAATGGAGACCTCATTCTGAATCTATGTTCTTTGCAGAGATATTTGCCTAATCCTTTAGCTCATAAATTTTAAATGTGAGCTTAGTTCTTAGATAGTGTTGCAAGTTTTCTAGCATAGATTCCTATCACGGTTCACTTGTTGAAAGAACTTCATTGCTAACATCTTGGGGTTGCCAGAGCTAAAGTGAGATTGGTGTAACCTGTAACTGGTTTTTGGATGTGATAATACTTTCCTTGTCTGCAAAGATGGAAATTCTCTATCATTTTAGTTATCACTTTTTTGATTCACAAGATGTGGCTATTGCTGTGTGAGCAAGCATTTACTGACTATCCCTTATTACCCTTGAGAAAATGGTGGTGAGCAGCTGCCTTGAACTACTAAAGTCCAGTGTTTAAAGTAGTCTGACAATGTTATTAGGGAGGGCATTCCAGAATTTTGACCCAGTGACAGTGAAGGAATGATATATTTCCAAGTTTGGATGGTGAGTGACTTGGATAAGTACTTGCAAGTGGTTTTGTCCCTGCATATCTGATTCCTTTGTCCCTCTGGATTGTATTGTCATGACTTTGGAACAAGCTGTTTAAGGAGCATTGGTGAATTTTGCAGTGTATCTTGTAGATAGTACACACTGAAGCTACTGAGCGCCAGTGGTGGATGGAGTGGATGCTTGTGGATGTGGTGCGAATCAAATGGGCAGTTTTGTCCTATATGCTGCCAAGCTTCTTGAATGGATTTGAAGCTGCATTCATCTAAGCTAGTGGAGAGTATTGCATAAGCTTTCTGACTTATGCCTTGTAGATGGTGAATAGGCATTAGGAAGTCAGGAAGAAAGTTACTTGCTGCAGGATTCCTAGCCTCTGACCTACTCTTAAAGCCCCTTTACTTATATGGCTAATCCAGTTCAGTTTCTGGTCAGTGGTAATCCCCAGAAAGTTGATAGTGGGGACTTCAGTGATAGTGATGCCATTGAATGTCAAGGGCCAATGGTTAGATTCTGTCTTGTTGAAGATAGTTGTTGCTTGGCATTTCTTTAGCATAAATGTTATTTGCCACTTGCCACCCCAAGCCTGGTTATTGTCCATATCTTGTTGCATTTGAATATGGACTGCTTTAGCATCTGAAGAGCTTTAATTGATGTTGAACATTTGTGCAGTCACCAGTGAACAACCCCACTTCTGACCTTATGGTGAAGGGAAGGTCATGGATGAAACAGCTGAGGATGATTGGTCATGGGAGACTACCTTGAGAAACTTCTGCAGACATGTTCTAGAGCTGAGATGACTTACCCCTCCAACAACCACAATCATTTTCCTTTGTGCCAGGTGTGGCTTCCACAAGCAAATAATTTTCCCTCTGATTTCCGTTGACTCCAGTTTTGCTAGAGCACCTTGATGTCATGCTGTCAAATTCAACTTTGATGTCAAGGGCAGTCACTGTTGTGGTCAATAAATGTGGAGCTGGAAAAGCTCAGCCAGTCAGACAGCATTCAGGAGGAGGAAAGTCAATGTTTTGACCCAACATTTATTGACTCTAGCCTCCAGCATTTTCAGTCCTTACTGTCTCCAACTCGCCAGTCACTCTTAGCCCAGTTCTGAAATTCAGCTTTTTTGTCAATGTCTGAACCAAGGCTGTTATGAGGTCAGGAGCTGAGGAACCCAACCTGAGTGTCAGTGAGCAGATCATTGCTAAGCAAGTGCTATTTGTAAGTACTGTTGATAACCTCGCATTGTTTTACTCATGTTTGAGAATAGACTGATGGGGCAGTAATTGCCTGTGTTGGATTTGTCCTTTTTTCGTGTGTGCAGGGCATACTTATGCAATTTTCCACATTGTTGGGTAGATGTCAGTGTTGTAGCCGGATTGGAACAACCATGATAGAGGCATAGCAAGTTCTGGAGTGTTAGAGTGCATTGCCTTTACAGTATCCAGTGCCTCGAGCGTTTATTGATATACCAAGGAGTGATTCAAATTGGTTGAAGACTGGCATCTGTGATGCTGGAAGCTGTTGGAGGAGGCCAAAATGGATCATCCACTCAGCACTTTGGGCTGAAGATAGTTGCAAGTGCTTCAGCCTTATCCTTCGCGATGATTAATGGGGCTATTTGTGGAGTCTCCTCCTTCAGTGAGCTGTTGAATTGTCCACCATCATTCATGACTAGATATGGCAGGACTGCAGAGTTTATATCTGATCTCTTCATTGTGGAATTGCTTAACTCTGTCTATCACTTGCTGCTTTTTCTGTTTGGCTCACAATTAGTCTTGTTTTGTAACTTGACAAGGTTGACACCCCATTTTTAGCTATTCTCAGTGATAATCCTGGCATGCCCTCCTGCATTCTTCATTGAATCAGAAGAATGTTATGGTAGAATGGGGAATATGCCAAACCCTGAGGGCACAGATTGCATTGGAGTACAATTTGTCTGCTACTGAGAGCCCACAGCACCTCATGGATGCCTAAGTTTGAGTTGTTACCTATCCCATTTAGCACAGGGATAGTTCCACAGCGCATTGTAGGGTATTCTAATGTCCTTTATATATTAATTCTAGTGGTTCTCTAATGCCTTTTTGGGAAGAAAATCTGACAGCCTGACCTGGTCTGCCCTACATGTAACTCCAGACACACAGCAATGTGGTTGACTCTCAAATGTCCACTGGGTAATTGGAGATGGGCAATAAATACTGACCTGGCCAATGACAACCATATCCTGTGAATGAATTAAAAAAGCTTCTTAATGTGAAGACTGGACTTCATCTCTACAAGGACTGTGCAGTGGTCACTCTTAACAATCTTGTCACAGACAGATGCATCTGCATCAAGTAAATTTGGTGAGGATAATGTCAAGTATATTTCCCTCTTGTTGATTTCTCAGAGGGTCTAGAAACTATGTCTTTTAGGAAATGACCAGCTTGGATAATAATGGTGCTGCAAAGCAAGTACATTCTGCGCCCTTGCCACCTTTGATGCTTTTGCAAGTGCTGTTCAACAGGAAGGAGTAGCAATGCCATGAGACCTCCCAGCTGTATGCCACAGTACTGCTACTTCTGATGGGTTTGTCCTGCTGGTTGGGCATTATGGTGATGGTGTTGTCTGGAATGTTGTGTGTAAGATAGGAGTCAATGATTAAATAAGGCAGTTTGCTCGACTTGTCTGTGAGAGACAGCTGTAACAATTTTGGCACCAGACCTTAGATATTAGTAAGGAGGTTTCTGCAGAGTTTTACAGAATTGTGTTTGCTGCTGTTGTCATTTCTGGTATCTTTGTTGATGTCAGGTGATCCATCTAGTTTAATTCCTTTTTAGCGGTTGTTACTGCTGAGTGGCTTGTTAGGCCATTTTGGAGGGTAGTTAGGAGTCAACCACATTGCTTTGGTTCTGTAGCCACATGTTGGCCAGACTTGCCAAGAGTAAAAACAGAAGTTGCTGGAAAAGCTCAGTAGGTCTGGCAGCATCTGTGAAGAAAAAGTCCAAATTAAAGTTTTGGGTCCGGTGACCCTTCCTCAGAATTGATGGTAGCTGGGAAAACATCAGTTTATATGCAGAAAACAGGGAGGGAGGATGGGGTAGGGAGTAAACGATAGGATAGAGCCCGAAGAGAGAGAAGAGCAGTACAATCGACAAGGGAGTTGATAACTATCTGGCTAAGAGGGTGAATAGTTGTTATTGGAGACTGTTAGCCTGCCATTACACACTACCTATTGTTAGTCACTGTGTGATAACAAGGCCTGATGCATTGGGTAGGGGGCTAGGACGTGGGGTCGTTATCCACTCCTTTCTCTATCCAACTGCCCTTCTCTCTCTTCGAGCTCTATCCCATTGTTTACACCCTACCCCAACCCCATCCCTATTTTCAGCATATAAACTGAAGTTTTCCCAGCTACAATCAGTTCTGAGGAAGGGTCACCAGACGCGAAACGTTAAGTCTCATTTTTCTTCACGGATGCTGCCAGATCTGCTGAGGTTTTCCGCAACTTCTGTGTTTGTTCCTGATTTACGGCATCTGCAGTTCTTTTGGCTTTTGTTAGAGGACCAGTTGAGTTTTTATGACAATTGCCAATGGTTTTATTTGAATTCCAGATTTTGTTTTACTGAATTCATTTTTTTGGTGGGATTTGAACCCAGTACTCTGGTTGCTAGTCCAGCAATGATACCACTGAGCCATTGCGCCCCCCTTTCTTTTCTAGTATAATTAATTGAAATACATTTAACAATAGGGAGTGGTACCTCAACCCAACTTTTCCTGCAACATCCAAATTTGTCATGTGCACAATAATTTTAGTTATTAATATGCAAATCTTACTGTTACTATTCATCTTATGCTCTTGTTAGAATACATTCCATTGATCTCAGAGTCAAAGTGAGGACACATTGACATTTGTGAATTGTGGGAGTGTTTAAGTGAACTGAAGCACCTGTATAACGTTTTAATAAACCTGAATCTAAAGTTTTTTTTAAATCTGTTCCTTTTTGGGATGCATGTTTAATTGTGCGTGATCTACGGGCTCAGGCCTTGCATGTCGCTATGTTATTAATGATGTAGACACAAAATAATTTACTTTATTTTCATGAACTGCAAGAGCATAAATGGAGCAGTGCAATCCAACATTGAATTTTTAAATTATTGACGTTTCTGGTTAGCAGTTGCCTTGAACAGGAAGGTCAGCTTCCAAAATATTTGGAATAACATGCTGACTGACAGCAAATAGCCTTAATGTTCTGAGCTATATGTCCATCAAACGCTTCTTTTTTTTGAAACAATAATTTAACAAATAATTAAAAATAATTCAAATGTTGCTATTAGGAAGAAACAAGACGTAGGAATAGGAGTAGGACATTCAGCCCTCAAGTCTGTTCTGCCATTCATTGAGATCATACCTGATCTGTGTCTTAACTGCTATACCTACCTTTTGCCTATATCCCTCAATATCTTTGCTTAACAAAAATTTATCTATCTCCGATTTAAAATTTGCAAATCATCTCGCATCAACTGCCATTTGTGGAAGAGGGTTCCAAACATTTATCACCCTTTGTGTGCAGAAGTGCTTCCTAACATCTCTCCTGAATAGTTTGGCCTGAATTTTAAGACTTGGCCCCTAGTTCTAGAATCCCCAACCAATGAAAATAGTCTATCTTCATCATCCAGTCCTTTCCTATTCATATCTTGAAGATTTTGATCAGATCATTTCTTAATCTTCTAAATTCTAGAGAAAACAGGCCTAACTTGTATAATCTGTCTTCATAACTTAGCCCCTGAAGTTCAGCTATTATTCTTATAAACCGTGTTGCATTCCCTTGAAGGTCGATATACCCTTCCTAAGGTGAGGTGCCCAGGTCTGTTCACAGTACTCTAAGTGGGATCTAACCAGGGTTTTATAGCTTCCACATAACATCTGCTTTCTTAAACTCCAGTCCTGTAGATTTAAAGGCCAGCGTTGTTAATTACTGAATGTGAACAGTTATGTTCAGTGCATGATGTGTGATGTTAATTTTTAATTGTTAGTCTGAAATGTTCTTTAATTTGTTGAATTTTGTTGTAGGCTGACTCCATTAGACAGTTATCAAATCAACAGAGGAACCGAATGCTTGAAATTAAGAAACCAAATTCATCTGTAAGAAGTTCAATGGTAAGCTGTAATCAGGAAAAGACTCTGAAAACATGAATGTAAAGTAAAATGCTAATTTGTATAAATGTCATTTTAAAAAATTGTTACAGTTGGCTTAGATTTTGCAATGGAAGTAAGAGTGAAGCTATTATCCTCACCATATTTATGGAGTAAATCAAAGCAACTTCTGGCATCTGTGCATGTGCAATTGAATATTGAAATCAGGAAGTAGCTATTTGCATTATCCTGCCCCTCCTCCACTCTAATGTAGGTGGAAATGCATAAATTTGTGGTACTTATATACTAGATGCCCACTAAACATTCCAGAAAAGGTTAGAATTTGTCCATTTAATTGCATTTGAATTTTTAACAGCATTGTCAATGTTGACTGCTGCTAAACGATCTCTCTGACGCTGACACTGAAAATTAACATCTAAAGTTTTCAAGAAGATTTGTAGCTAGGGTTGTGGATGAGGTTGTAGACATGCACGCTGAGCCGGTGGGTTTGGTTGCAAGCATTTTGTCACCCTGCTTGGTAACAACCGGAAGTGCACCAACGACGTTACCTAGCAGGATGACAAAATGCTTGCAACCAAACCCACCGGCTCAGCGTGCATGTCTACAACCTCATCCACAACCCCAGCTACAAATCTGCTCAAACTTTAAACACCTACAGGCGCAACACCCTCAAACTGGCCCACAGATGGGAAACAAATGCCATCCAGCTGAGCGCGACCCGAAAACAAGTATACTTCCTGCACAATGCCTCAGAAAGCAGGTACTACCACAAAGCTTAAAATATAAACCGCCTATCAACAGTCCACAGGCACGGAGGACAGCTGAACAGAATGGATGCAGAATGATCAGGGTTATAATCAACAATGCCCACAACCACCTCAACAAATACAAGCGGGAAATTGCGCACCAAAAAACTCTGTATTCCAACGCAACTGACCAGGAATGGACATCCACACTGAAACGAGCCATCAGCATACAACAGCAAAAGACCAGGACAGAGAAAAGAACAGCCCTACAAGAAAAACTGTCTAAAATCACCCACATCAATGACACGGACAACACAGATTCATGGATTAAAAACATCTCAGACCGACCACTTACAGACACTGAGAAGATCCTCCTAATATGTAGACTGAATTATAACTACAGATTTGCAAAAAAGACTGACTTCCTGGCCTCACTGGAATTGACACTAAAGAGCAACGGACTCGCGGAAGTACAACAGACCATCAGACAGATAGTCCCAACACGGAGCAAAAAAAGGTAAGTGGAACCCATTCAACACAGAAAAGAGGAAAGCCCAGGAAAGACTCAAGAAAGACAGGAACATTGTAATCTTACCAACAGGCAAAGGATGCGTGACAGTAATCCCCAATAGAGCCCAATGTATCGAGAAAGCTAATGCACTACTAGCAGATACTGACACCTGCCAACAGATGGCGATAGACCTGACACCACAGTCAGGGAACAGTTGCAAAGACCCTGAAGAAATTACTTGTTGATGTCTTGCTGATGTCTCCAACCAAAAAATGAAGCCAGAGGGACCCAACACACCCCGCTTCTACGGACTCCCCAAGTTACACAAACCGGGGGCCCCCCTCAGACCTACAACAGAAATTGAAATATTTAGTTGACACTACTACCCATTCCTTCCACTTACCCTAAGAATTCCTCAACATCGTCAAGGACTCCAGGATAGAAGAGGACGAGATGATGTCTTTCGATGTAACAGCACTATTTACATCCATAAGCATCGACTTAGCCAAACAGACTTTTGCCACACAACTGGACAAATCAAGTAGGCAGGCATCCTAGGACACGAACAGCACTCACCACTATACAACCCGAACTCTGGGTCTGCTGTGTAGATGACACCTTCATGATTATCAAATGCACAAAACTAGAAGACGCACCGACGCACAAACAACATCCTCACCGGAATAAAATTCAAAAAAGAAGAGAACAACAACTGACTACCCTTCCTAGACATAATGATGGAACGCAAAAACAACAGGGAACTCCAGACTATCGTATATAGAAAGACTACACATACAGGCCGGATACTCAAGTACACAAGCAACCACCCCAACACCCACAAACGGAGCTGCATCAGGACACTGTTTAAACGAGCTACAGCACATTACAGCAACCTGAAACTACGCAAAGCAGAACAAGAACACCTATACCGAGTCTTCAAAAGGAATGGATATCCAAAAAACACAGTCCGCCATTACCTCCGAGACAAACCGCAATGGGAAGACACAACACGACCAGATTCAATAATCACCCTGCCGTACATTTCAGACATGACCACGACTACTCAGACCCCTCGGTATCAAGGTAGCCCACAGACCGACAACCACCCTACGACAGCTACTGATGAACGCAAAGGATCCCATACCCAAAACCAGCAAAACCGACGTAATATACAAAATACCATGCAATGACTGTGAGCAACACTGCATAGGCCAAACCAGAAGAAAACTGACGATATGGATACACGAACACCAACTAGCCACCAAGCGACATGACCAATTCTCACTAAGTATGGACAACAAGGGACACGAATTCAACTGAGACAGCACATCCATAGAGATAGTAAGAACTGCAGAGTCAGAGATAATACAATGTGGAGCTGGAGGAACACAGCAGGCCAGGCAGCATGGGAGGAACAGAAAAGTTGACGTTTCGGGTTGGGACCCTTCTTCTTTTTCTGACCCGAAACATCAACTTTCCTGCTCCTCCAATGCTGCCTGGCCTGCTGTGTTCCTCCAGGTCCACACAACACATCCATAATCACACAAGCCAAACAGAGACCGGCCAGGGAATTCCTGGAGGCCTGGTATTCTAATCGGAACTCCATCAACAAACGCTTTGAATTAGACACTGTACAAACCATTGAGAAACAGAACCGGAAGTGGTACCAAACACTCCAACAAATTGAGGCACATAAATAGCAAACGGGACAGAACACCAACGCTTCACCGGAGGTGCGCTGACAGTGTTACCTAGCAGGGTGATGAAACGTTTGCAGCCAAACCCGCTGGCTGGGCGAGCATGTCTGCAACCTCAAAATCAATTTCTACTTGTCTTGCCCTTTAAGGTGTTAATAAATTTTGGAAATATAATTTTTTTTTAACCTCTTGAAGAAGGGTAACTGGACCCAGATGTTAACTCTGTTTTCTCTCCACAGATGCTGCCAGACCTGCTGAGTTTCTCCAGCAATTTTTTTTTTCGTTTAGTTTCGGATATCCAACATCCACAGTTCTTTGTTTTTTCATTTTTACCTTAGCTTTTTGTTTCTCATCTCTCTTAATTCCATCTAGCTATTCTTAAATTTACTTTCTGCAGCTAATTTCACATTGAATTATTTCTTCTGACTTAGATTTTCTGCTTTAGATTCTGCTTGTCTCGGTGAGGATTCTTCAATCTGATCATGGAATCAAACACTTGCTTAACCTGCTAATACTCATTCCAGGTGCTCTATAAAAAGGGCAGTGTTGTTTTGACAATTGCTAATTACAATGCAAAAGTTCACAGGAAGTGGATAGCTTAAACAATGAGCATCTTTCACTCGCTGCTAACCACAAAATGTGTGACATTGTGCTTATACAATACATTATCAGACCTTTAAAATGATAATATCACATAAAGTTAATGTCTTTGAAATGGTATCTCTGTTATGTAGACAAATGCAGTCACTGTTTTACAGACATGCAAATTAGGAATACAAAAAGGTTACTCACCCCCTTGAGTCTATTCCAAAACGTCAGCCTTCCTGCTCCTATGATGCTGCTTGGCCTGCTGTGTTCATCCAGCTCTACACCTTGTTATCTCAGATTTTCCAGCATCTGCAGTTCCTACTATCTCTCATGTCAAATTTAATTGTGTTTTGAATTCCATCCATCCCCAAGAAACTTTGACTCAAATGCTTACTGAGTATCTACTTCTGTCGCAATGTAATGGCCAGGTAAATGTGAGAGAAGGATGGAAATTTGAAGTAAAAGTAATTAATTTTTCCAATTCCAAACAAGAGCAGGAAGCAACGCTGATGCAATCATTGATGTATCAGAGGAAGAGTCTTGGGGCGGGGGGAAGACTAGGACTTGAAAAAGGAATGTTCATATGCTCCACAAAGCGACAGGCATAACTGGGACCCATCTGGATATATAGAGCAATTGTAAATCCATGACAAAGAGAAGGCAACTGGGGCCAAGAAACTGGAAATTGTGGAACTGGCGTAAAACATCATAAAAATCACAAATTAGATGGTAAGAGACTGAACAAGGGAGGAAGAAGTATTCAAGATGGAAAGAAATAAGTTCAGTGGAGCAGGAACAGACTGAAACAATGGGCGTACCAGAACAGCCCTCTTGTGGATTTTGGGAAGATGGTAGAAGCTGACTGTGCAGGATTGAGGTCTATGAGATGGACAACTGTAGGAGGAAGATTTCCGGAGCAGATGAGTAAGTGACAGCCTTGTAAACAAGTTTTGTGTTCATTGGCGAGGCTGTGGTCCTTTGGAGAAAAAGAAAATGTCTGAGACTCGGTGCTCAGCCTCTGAAAAGTGGAGAACAGTCTACCAGATGACAATACCACAAGTTTGATAACATAATCAGAGCTGGACATGAAAGAACAGAGTGCAGCATGGATGGGGCCAGGGGAAGACAAGTTAGAATGGGTGAGGGGAACTGAGAAATGAAGGGCTATGTCACATCAACACCAGCTCACGAGCTGCCTGGTTGGCAGATTGACCACACTCCATCTAGTGGCAGAAGTGGGTATATGCAGGGTCCAGAAATTGATGAAATACTGTACTTTCATTCCTTTCTTTTGCTTAGAGCTGGAATAGAAGCGCGGGGCAAGAGGGGTCAGCTAAAGAAGTGTCCAGTAGTTGTGTGCTCTTCTACACAATTGAAGTCAATTAAGATGATGTATTTTAAGAGTACAGGTACATAGGAACTGCTTGACAGTAGAAAACCCAGCTCCAATAATTCATTTTCTATTATTCTAGTAATGACATAATGTCTCAATATTATTGGTTGTTCCTGATCCTAGCAATTAGTTTTAATTGAATTATAAGCTGAAGTTAACTTTCTAATACCATTTGAACTGAACTGATCGGCAACAGTTTTAGTCCCACTGCGCTCTTAAAGATATTTTTAATCAATTAGTTCTTTGTACATGACACGTGTGTACAGATAATTACACTTCATACCAAAGCAATCAATACTGACTGAATCCTTCCAATTTTTATTTTGAGATATTGAAAATAATTCCCTTTCTTATGAAAAGGTGTTTGTCCTCTAACGATTGCACTGAAATCAAAAATTTTGAATAAGTGATTAAATGTAATTTTAACTGTTTTATGAATAGAGCATTGAATACTAAGCTATTATTCCAAACTTGGAAAGTAGTTCTCTGTACCCCTGTACTTTTTCACATCAAGATGTAACCGTCATTGTTGTGTCGTGAAATATGTTTTTGCTTTTTTTCACACACTGACTGCAAAGTTAAACTGTGTCTACCATTCAGTGACTCTGCTGTAATGCCACCTTCAGAAGAGGTTTCCCAATTATCAGAAACTCAGCAGGTCTAGCAGCATCTGTAGAGAGAAAGCAAAGTTAATGTTTTGGGTCCAGTGGCCCTTATTCAAAAGAAGCATTCTGTAGAAGAGTCACTGGATCTAAAATGTTAACTCTGCTTTCTCTTCGTAGATGCTGCTGATTTTCTTCAGCAATTTCTATTTTTTTGTTTCAGATTTCCAGTATCTGCAGTTTTTTTTTTTCATCATATTGTATCTGTCATTATGTGACTTTTTATTGTTTTTAGTCTTGTGCTGAACTGCTAATTCATTGGAAGTGATTTTCATGCCAGATCTTAAAACAGACGTCATTCTTGGGTGTTGAATAATCAAGCAGTTAATAGACTATTCGCTTTATTGTTGATTTATTACTAACTTGTGTACTGTTTCTAATAGCTATTCTTTAGCAATGTACCACTACCTGCCTGGATTGAAAATTATTTGAATTTCTGCCAACTATAATTTCTGCAGCATAAATGGAGTCTATTATCTTGATTAATTTTGTTTAGGACTTCTAAAATATGACCTTTGTTTTCTTTCTCTGTTTCTCCAGAGCGCTGAATTGAGAAAGCCAAATCAACAGAAACCTGCAACAGGATTTGGTGGAATACAAAATTCAACCTTTGGCTCATCCGGTAACTGTTAATGTTTTAAATAAATTTACTTATGTAAAATAGAAATCTTTTTTTAATTTCTGAAAAGTGGTGTTAGTTAATTTCCTGTGTCACTTTGTGGACTGTCAGCTGCTTAAAAAGCCAGAAGATTGATCTGTGGTCACCAAACTAACACTTTAATCTGCTTTGACTAGATACGTTGTTAGAAAAATTGTACTATAAGATGTTGAATTTCAGTTAAACCTTTGAGGAATGCAACTGTTAACATAATGCTGGGGATCTGGGCACTTGGGGCTGTGTGGGAGTCTTGAGAATCTGTGCTGTTTAGTGTCGATAAATGCTAAAAGGGAGATGCCTCTAGTATGTAATATAAAACTTGCTTGTGGTTCCAAACTGTGTCACTCCTGATGGGAAGAATATAATCCAAGATGATCATGACAAATTAAGTCAGCATATTATCTATAATTCCTTAATGTAGGTATTAGGGTACATTAGTTGGAAAATTGTTTGCACAAGTAAGAGGGCCTTCAGATCAAGTTATACATCAGTGCCAAAAAGCTTAACAGTACCAATAAAAGTAAACGAAATAACAATGAAAATTTTACTAATACAAGTAAACTATTTTACAATGTAAATTCATTCTATATTTCCACCTAAAGAGTAGGTGATTTGGCCCATCCCTAACACAGCAGTGTTCAGAGTTGTTAATTTAGTCCTTTTTCCAGCATTTGTTTAAAAAAAATCATCTTGTTCGCACATTGAGCCGTCTTTTCTCAAAACTGGTATGGATTGTGCCACTGTTCACATTGTTAAAATTTCATCATTTTTTTTGCTACTGTAGACTAGATTGCTCATCTGTTCTGTACTGATATGCTTAATTCACTGTAACTATTTCAGTGGTTCTTAATCATTTAAGACTTTTGGTCTAATTTTTAGAGACTAAATGTGCGGACTGTGCCTACTACTATTGAAATAAATGAAACCTCTGGAATTTTCATTTCCAAAGTTTCCCAAGTCAATTTTACGCAGCCTGTAACACTTATGAATAGGTTATAAGTAAAGCAGTTGTGTGTTCATATCAGTTTTGAGATCTTTTTCCCTGTGGCTTACTGAAATTATGTGTCTCACATAGGTTTTGATTCTTTCCTAAGGTTTTGCCTCCAGCTCTGTAAGCAGCAGCTCATTTAGCTTCAAACCCAGTGTTGGATTTGGCAATACCACAACAACATCACGATTTGGAAATTCTTCAACACCTCTATCAGGATTTGAAACCAAACCAGCTGCTTCTTCCTCAGTGTTTGGAAATTCATCAACGTTTGCACTTAACACTTCCACACCAGCTTCAGCCTCTGGTGCATTCGGTGGTTCTGCTACCAGTTCAACTCCAAATGCCTCAGTGTTTGGAAGTTCTGCTCCAATTGGAAGTAACTCAACAATGGGTTCCCCTGGTTTTGGGGGTTCTGCACCAGCCCAAGCACCAACATCCTCAGCATTTGGGAGTACCGTAACAACAACAGCAACAAATGTTTTTGGGGGAAATGTAATTGCACCAGCAAATTCTTTTGGGAGCAAAGCAACAACAGCAACAACAAATGTTTTTGGGAGTGCTGCAGCATCTGTATCTCAGTCCCAGAACATTCCGGTTGGCAATAATCCAGTCAGTGGAAATGATAAATTGTATACACCTCGGACAGAACTCTCAGCAGATGACTTACAAGAATTTGAAGCAAAGAAGTTCACTTTAGGAAGGATCCCTTTAAGGCCACCACCCGTCGAACTTCTAAATGTGTAAATTTGACTAAGTAATAATTACATTGATTACATGCCATCATTCTTCTTTTTAGACTAGAAATTATGCTTTTGAATTTATTTTAACTCTTGGTAGATCCACTATTATCAGCAATATTAGGGATTTAACATTGTAGTAATTTATTGGATAGATTATTATTTCTTTTTCTCCCAACACTTTTCATGCTTTCTTCAATTTCCCCAACTAAAAAAAATTCACAAAAATCAGTAAATTGCATGGCTCTGTTTGGTAAAACTGAAATAAATGCACCTGTAGTTATTTCTGTACCAGAAATATGTGCTGTTCTGATGGAGGTGTGCAGAGTGATAAATGGTTCATTTGTACCAGTGACTAGGGGGGAAGAAAGTGAATATATTAATGATTAATGAATGTTGGAAGCACTGAAACTTGGAGTTATAATTTGCAAGGTGCAAATTTATTGTAAGCAGAAAAGATATTAATTTCCCTTAGCTTAAAGTCCGAATTTTTCTTGAGCTGCCTTTTGGATAAATTATTTCAACAGGAAAGATTTGTATGCTGTATACAACTTACTGTGTTTTTTTAAAATAAGCTTAAATGCATTTTTTAATTTCTTAGTTTATTTAACTATCTACAGTACTGATTGTAATTGTTCTAAGAAATACTTTTATTTTACAAAAACATGGTATTTTAAATTTCATGTATAAATATGCACAGCAGGAGTGTTTTCATTTTGATACATCCTAGGAGCACAGATTGTCTACTTATCCCCAATAAAATGTTTACTATAATTTGCCTGAGTTGACCTTTATATATGAAAACCTGATAGTCATCCATTCTCACAATTCTTGTATTTTTGTACCTTTTTTAAGCCTTATAATTGTGAAATTGAAGCTTATATAGTTTTACACGTTCATTCTTGTGACTCAAATTATTACTTGAGTGCTAATTCTAAATCTTCATTTTAGAAAGGAAAACCAAGTTATTTAACATATTGCCAGGAAGTCTCAAATCCCTTCACAATCAATGAATTACTAATGGTAACTGATGTATGAGTGTTCATCTATTGTATGCAGGGTTTGTTTTTTGCTCGTTTTGCTGCTTTTAGTACTTTTATGTGAGCTAATTAGCAAATCAAAATAAAGTGCCAAGTACAGAATTATATATTGTCTATATTTACTGTGTGATCGAAATATTTATGAATTGAGTTGACCATTTTTTGGAGAGTTTCAGATGATGACTTGGAGAGGATAAACACATTCTTCATTCACTGTACAAATTTTTTTCTATCATTTTAATCATGTAATTCACTTTGCTTTTTTAAAGGCTGCAATTTTTTTGATTTTATCTCTTCATTAGTGAGCCTATTTCTCCCTCATGAGCAGAAGAAAATACCTACTGTAGCAGCACTTCCAAGGAATTATTTGTGCATCTGAAGATGTTCTTGTTCATCTACATCTTTTATTTGTTTTTCCATTAAGTACTGCACTCAACTATTTTTCTCCCAAATGCACTACCTTGCATCTTCCTGCAACATATACAGTGAATTTCTCTACATCATCCTGAAGAATTCTAAAGTTAGTTTGGCCATTTGCCAAACTAACAAGTACTTAGGTTTGTCTACATAGAACAAATGATAACGGAAGATGGTAAATATGCTGCCAAAGTCAGAAGCTGGGTTGGAGATATCCTTCATCTTCTTGAAATAGATTTTGGCTATGTCAGCAATATAATTCAGGCTTAAAACAAGGAGAAAATCTTTTAAAATTATACTTCTTATACATTTCACTGTATGGCTCAGAGACCCATTTATACTGAATTTTATGACGTGTTTTTAAAAACAAGAGGAGAGGGGAGGAATTTTGGACAAAAGTTTGGGTATATGCGTGGTTGGTTAAGAGTGCCCAAGAAGACCAATCTGCCATCTAATTTTACCATGAGCGTGTTCAGCTGTGTGCATGAAACCTCATGCAAGGCAGGCTGCGAATTGAAATATAGTAAAGGCAATTAACTCCTTACATGGTTTTTCAATTTACCTTGGAATTATTGGGTTTTCTTGAAATCCCCAGTGAAAGGGAGGAGGGAGAACAGGAAATTGAAGAGTCCAAACAAATAGCAGGTAAAATTCCTGTTAAGTAATTAGACTTCCTCGCTGTTTCTTTGCCTAATTGAAAGATTCTGCTCATAGGAATTTCTCTGAGATTTAGCTTTTTAAGTATCTTGTGGTTGACTTCCAGTAGTTCACTGGCCATTTCCATTGAGTCTTGTGTGGCTGATGTACTTTGCCCATCTTGTCTATCCAGGAAGAGTGCTACTTATGCAGACCAAGATGAATTGCAGTAATATGAGAAATGCTAGCAAAAGAGGAGCGTCCTGATTAACCTGCTGCTTCGAGGGATAAAGGATAAAAACATAAAAAAGAAAAGCAGGAATAGGCCATTCAGCCCAATGAGATCGGTCTGTCTTTCAACATGATAATGGCTAATTCTCTATCTCAATGCCTTACTCCTGATCTCTTTCCATACTATTTGACGTCATAGAGGCTTAGCTGCAGAAGGAGTCGGTTCATCCCATAATATCTGCCCTAGTGAATAAAGTTCTTTTCAGTAAAAATGTAGACAGGGACTTGAACCCTAGCCCTTCAGATTCATAAGATTTTCAAGGAGATACTTAATACTTTTGTTCTAGGCAAGTCAAGCTTTCAGTACTAATCACTTCTCAAAGCAGAATTAGTAGTTGTCTCCCTAAACATGAGGGTTACTCTCAGAAGACCTGTGAAAACATTGATGCCTGTTTTCGAGATACAATCATGAGAATTGTCATCAAGCAAGCTGTCAAGAATCTGAATGTGTTTTACCTATCTGTACGCGGGAATGTCCTTCAGCATTTAGCAGTTAGAGTTTGAGAGTCAAAATGGTCTGCAGTACCTTGTACGACATAATGCAATAGCAAGGATTGGAGCTTCAGGAGGACAGAACTGAGGGTCCTATTGATTCTTCAGATGAGGAGGGCCTTCATCGGTGAGGGCACTAGTAGCGTCACACATGGTTGCCTGAGATGGCCTAAGTCAGACATTGTTCAATGAGTCTGAAGCAATGCACCCATCTGGTATTCTGAAACAGTTTGCCAACACCCACCCCACAATTCCCCAACATAGCAATCCTGCAATTAAAAAAGCGTAATCATTTTTAACTCTTGTCTTACCATTCATTACAAGTGAGAAGGCCATTTGCCAAAAAATGGGTAATATAGGAAATGCTGCAAATAATATTAGAGAGCAATTAAGCAGAGTTACTAATGTAAAATTATGTTAACATTCATGTGTAAGATCCTTGTGTGGCAACAGACATTTAACCTTTTCCTACTACTCCTGTGTAGTGCAATCTCTGTATTTCAGCAATTTGCTTGTATCCCTTATTACAGAGATATGTCTGGCCAATGTACACTAGATCTTGCTGTTTTTATGATAGTGCTAAATATGAGCTATCAAATTTTTACTTCCATTCTTTGGTTATTACATCTGCAGCCTTACATGGGCTTAAATTGTTTTTTTAACAAAATAACATGGACTGAAATGGCTGCAGTGGTCACCTGGCCACAAATCAAAGCAAACATTGTGAGACTCATGTAGAATAAAGAAAACCACCCACAATTAAATTACTAATTTATCTAAGGACATTGAAACCAGGCAACTCAGTCAGCAACAAGAAATTCACATGACGTGTTTTAATTTGCACATGTGATAATTTCACATATTGAGAGCTGAAAGGCTTGCTTGCTTGTTAATCAGCTTGGAAAGACAATAGAGTTGGATTTGGAATATACACTGAACTATATTTCAACAGCTGCTTTTCAGCAGCAGAGGTGATAGAAGAAAAAATAAATTTGTGACAAAAGCTGGAACTGTCTCTTTTCCAACCTGTTTTTTTCATCATCTCAGAATATAGTTCCTAGAGAAAGGGCAAACTGTTCACCAAGAACTCAAGCATATCTATAGGAGATAATAACATCCCTCTTTCTTTCATCCAAGAGCATCTTGATAACTGGTTCCTTCATTGAAAAGAGATTGGAAAGACGAGTTGTTTTCTTTAGAGCAGAGGAGAGTGAGGGGGGCCACAATATAAAACTATGAGAGGCCTACACAGGGTAAGCGGGAAGAAACTTTTCCCCTGGTGAAGGGATCAATGACCAGGGGGCATAGATCTAAAGTAATGGGCAGGAGGGTTAGAGGAGATGTGAGGAAATTTTTTTTTCACCCAGAGGCTGGTGGGAATCTAGAAATTACTGACTGTAGGGTAGTAGAGACAGAAACCCTCATATCAGGTAAGAAGTATTTAGATATACACTTGTAATGCCAAGGCATACACGGCTATGGGCCAAGTACTGAAAAATGGGATTGGGGGAGTTAAGTGGTTGTCTTTGACCGGCACAGTCTTGATGGATTGAAGGGCATTTTTCTGTACTATAGGCCCTATGAACCTATAATATGCTCCAATACTGATTCTACTTCTTGATCTTTCCAGCACTAAGATGCTTTTTTTTAACAACTGTCCTTACATTGTACTGTCCTATCAGGGCTAATCTTATAGATGCTGGTTAATCAGGGAGAAGAAATTAGAATATGCAAAGAAGCTGGCAAGGAATGTAAAAACGGATAGCAAGTGTTTCTAAAGCTATTTAAAATGGAGAAAAGTAAGTAAAGTGAGCAATGTCCTCTTGGGTGAGAATGAGAATAGTGGATAACTGGAAACAGCAAATGAAATCTGGAAATACTTTGCTTCTGTACTCCCTATTTGTGATACAAAAAAAGACTGGGAATCAGGAGGTGGAAGGGAGAGAGGAATGTAGCAATATTATAATCATGATGGAAGTGGTGCTAAGCATAATGATGGAGCTGGGCTGACAAGTCTCTGCATTCAGGTGGATTTCATCTTAGTGCTTTAAAAGAGGTTGCTAATAAGATATTGGATGCATTGGTGTTAAATTTCAAAATTTCTGTAGATTCAAGAAAAGATCCATTAGACTGGAAAGTTGCAATTATAACCGGCCTAGTTAAAAAAGGATGGAAAAAAGTATAAAACAGGAACTATATGCCAGTTAGCTTGATATCTGTCATGGGAAAATGTTAGAAATCGATCATTAAGGAGATTATAGCTGAGCGCTTAGAAAAGCTCAAGTTAATCAGAAGGAGTCATCTTTAACCAATCTAGATGAGCTTTTTGAAGAAGTCACGCCCACTGTGGATAAAGGGAAGCTTGTGAACATACTATATTTGGATTTTCAGAATGTGCTTAGGTGCTACATCAAAGGTTACTGCAAAAGGTAAACGGTCATGGTGTAGGGTATAACATAGTAGGGTGATAGATTGGCTGGCTGGCAGGAAACAGAATATTCATAAATTGGTCTTTATCTGATTGGCAGGCTGTGATGAGAGGAGACCCCTAGAGATTTGTTCTGGGATCTCAGCATTTTTGAAATTACATCAATGAATGGATGACAGGATAAAAGGCATGGTACCTAAATTTGTAGATGACACAAAGATAGCTCGAAATGTATGTTGTAAAAAAAGCATAAGAAAGTTGCAGACAAATATAGATAGCTTGAGTGAATGGTCAAAAATCTGGCAGGTGGAGTATAATGTGGAAAGATGTGAAGTTGTTTGCTTTGGCCTGAAAAATAAAAAGTAGAATGTTAGTTAAAGGAGGAAAGACTGCAGAAGTCTGAGATGCAGAGGGACTCAGGTGTTATGGTGCTTGAGTCATAAAAAGTTAGTATGCAGGTACAGCAAATAATTAAGAAGGTTACAAGCTTTTACTATGACAGGAATGGAACATTAAAGCAGGGATATTATGCTTTGGTTATGCATGATTTGATATCAAATTTGAAACTACATTTCAAATACTGGGTTTAGTTTCGGTCTCCTTATTTAATGGAAGATGTACATGCATTGGTTCAGTGGAGGTTTAGATTGATACCGGCAATAAGCAGGATGTCTTATGAAGATGCATTGGACACGTTAGGCTTGCTTCCACTGGAGTTTAGAAGAGTGAGGGATGACTTGATTGACGTGTATAAGATTCTGAATGGTTTTGACAACGTGGACGCAAAAACCAGGTTTCTTCTTGTGAGTCAGTCCAGGACAGTGTTTTAAAATTAAGA